GTGGAAGGGTTAATCTTTCTATGGCGGATTTAGGATGATGTTGTTTATGCTTAGTAAGTGTTGTTCTTGTTTTCCTTTGGAGTTGCTCGAGATCTGTGTGAGTCCAATGTATAACTCCAAAAGAGTATGTGAGTACTGGAATGACATATGTGTTTATTATTATTATTATTATTATTATTATTATAAGAACCAGGAACAAATTTGAAAACTACTTTTTCCATATTTAAAAATAAAAACACTTAAACTATTTAAAATTTTTTTTATTAAATTAAACAACATATTTTTCATACAATTGAAGTAACTTTCTTACTTTATCTTGCAGAAAATAGTTGAATCAAAAGAAATGACTTTACATTATCCATGATACAAAGAGTAGTTTAATTAAAGTACTTTTTCTTTCATCAAGAAAAGCTTCTTCAGTTAAAATTTGAAACAAGAAAAAATTTTGTTTTGTTTTGAACTTTAACTGAGGAAGCTTTTCTTGCTGAAAGTGAAAGTACTTTAATTATAGAATACCTATGTATTGTAGATAATGTGAAGTTACTTGTTTTGATTTCAACACATTTTTCATCATCACTTTTGTAACTGTGTTGATAAGGGAAAAAATATATCATTTACTAATATATTAAATACATGAATAAAAATAAATAATCCATTATTATTTTATTAGAATATTTAATTACTTTAAAGTTTATTTTATTTTAATTCAATAATATTTTCTTCATAAAATAAGATTTCAAATATTAAATTTTTAAACTTAAATCTTACAAATTTGAAAAGCTTTTACCAAAGAAACATATGATGTAAAACACCATATGTATCTTACATGTAGATAAAAACAAAATTAATAAATAGAAATGAATAAGAAGCTGAGCAATAAGTTTATACAGAATATCTGAAATTAAACTATCCATAATGAAAATCTGCTTCCAAATAATTTATTAGCTTATACATTCAAAGCACATTATATTTTGTAAATATATTTAATAATACACAAAGCGATATATATGGGAACTTAATAGTAATCTGTAAAATATAAACTGTATTTAAATGTATGAATGCATATTTTACTGAAAATGAAATCTTTAAATTCTAAATTCAATCCATTATTATATTTTTTGTTTTAGTCTATATGATTATAAACATTATTTGTAAGGTTATATGGTTATAAATATTGCTGTCTAAGATTAAAGGTAAATGAACACTATTTCAAACTAGAATTCTGACATTTTATTCAAACTTCCTCAAATGCTTACAATATAAAACAAAAAAGATTTTTTTATTATGTCCTTTGAAATTCAAACTTGTTGCTGTTTTTAATAATAATTAAAAAAAAACAAATTTATTATTTACAAAACTACATGATTAAAAGTAAATATTGAAAAATTAAATCATTAAATTGAAGAATCCAAGTTTAAAAACTGATACTTGATCATAGTGTGAGGAATTGAGGCCAATTATTATTTAATTTTCTGGGGTCATTATATTTTGTTTCAGATTTTTTTCTTATTTTAGAGTGTTTGTTTTACTAGAAGGGCAAAAAACCCACACCCACATTTAAAAACTGATGGCTGCCAATGCTTATGTCAGCAGATCTCAGTTGAAATGACATGCATAATTTGACAAATTAAAATTGGCCATTATATCATAACATCACAAGGTAATTTAGTTAACTTAATATTGAGAACATATTTTATCGAATATTGGATGGGGAAAGTTGGTGAGAGAGAATTGTAAAACAATTGTAGCAAATATATAGATGAGCAAAAACAATTGTTAGCAAATAAGTATGGAAATGAGCATGTTATGATATTTTTAATTAGAACTTTAACAGAAACTTTGTAGTTATAAACTAACTATATTGCAAACTTAAAATTTCATTATTCTTTACTTCACAACTGGATGCATAGGTAGACACTGGGTATCTTTAACATCATTCTTTATTCAGGAAAATCTTTCACACCAATATGTGTTTCGGACATACTCCCCCTCTTCTGTCGGTTTGTTCTTTAAGGCATTTAGTAAAGAGGCACTAACTAATACACATCCTTTTTAAAATACATATATTTACAGTTAAAATTTCCCAACAGTGAACTCAAAAAATTCTTCTTTACTTCACAACTGGGTGTATAGGTAAACACTGGGTATCTTTAACATTACTCTTTATTCAGGAATATCTTACACACCAAATATCTGCACCCAGTTGTGAAGTAAAGAATAATTAAAAGATGACAGGATTTCGGACTAAGTCAATTAAAATTTCATTGTTAAATTCATTTTGTCAAATTTTGAACCTTAGCTATCTTAAATTAGATATCACATTGAAATTTGCAAACTTATAATAAAACAATTTAAATTAAGATTTATAGAATTCTAAAAGACTTTTTAGAAAACAAATAATTACAAAAACAAAATATTTTCAATCTTAATGACAAACAAGCATTGCTTTTGTAATTTAACTGCTGCTAAATAAAATTGGCATGACACTGAAAATAAAAGTTAAAACAGTATTCTAAACAAATACACTATGGCTTAGCAATAAGTTTTTCTATATGGAACATATATTTATTTATTATACATATGTTCCATATAAAATACATATTATATAGAATACATATTACTATATCAGTATTATAATATATAGAATGCATTTGTATTCTATATGTTAACATACGAATTACATGTCAACATATAATCCAGTTTGTTAACATATAAATATTAGCATATGGATTATATTATTCATATCAACATATAGATTAAATGTCAATATATAATCCTTATGTTTAACAAACTGGATTGTATCGAATAGAAATAAAGGATTACGAAAATAATAAATTCTTAATGAATTATAAAAACTATTACACAATTTTCCTTCTCATTTATTATTAAACAAGAATGCAATTAATATAGTTTTGCAATAATTCAAGAATAATATAGTATATAAGAGTTAATTTTAAAGCTTAAAACAAAGTCTCAGCTAGCATTTTAGACATTTACATTGTATAATGATAATCCTTCTTACAGAATCAACATAACCTAACTACAAATTGCAACCTATTACATCATAACATACTACAAATTGCAGTTGATACTTTGCATTTTGAATGTTTTTCATATTTTTCATTAAAAAAATTCTTTGTAACATTTTCTCTTATTATAAATTTTATTCTGTTACTCTTGAATATTTTACTTGAATTTATACTTGAAATCATTTTGTCTTTATTGTTATAAAGATAAAAATGTTTACAAATAGTTTTTTTCTTTTCTTATTCACTTTAAATACTTTCTTTGTGAAAATTTATTATATTTAAATTACTGAAAAAAATAATGATAATTTACAATAAATTTTCACAAAGCAGTGTTTGAATTGAATAAGAAGAATCCAAAATTATATTGCAAGCTTTTCCATCTTAATGAAGCATTATTAAAATAAAATAGTAATTTACATCACACCATACCAGGATATATGTAATAACAAACACAAAATCAATTTCTGGTGTGTATAAACAAAAAACAATCTCTGCACAAACATTTTCTAATGCTTCCTGTGCATTAGAAAATCTTCAAGTGCAACAGAATGGTTACCCAATGGAATGTCCTTCGGAACAAACATGAATTTATAAAAGTTTTTAAAAGAACATAATTCGAATGATCATTTGAACTATAAATATAAACTTAAACCTCCACATAATGATCAATCCACTAAAGACTATACCATCATGTCAAGCAGAGCCTGCCAGGCCATCGACAACACCATTTCCTCCTTAAAATTTATACATAATGATGCAAATTTAGCTTTAAAAATTTCTATTGGCCTCTGACCATTCTGTATGCAATGTTGCGAGGAGAAGTCTGCCACAATTTCTGGATCCACTGTATAGGTAGAGAGGGTTAATTGTTGTATGAATGCCACTGAACTTGTGATCGTGTAAGGATGGATGGGTGGGTTTCCAGTAGTCGAATGGTGCCTTGGCTCTGTCTAAACTGGATAAAGATGTTGCCCTTGCATCTATAAATTACAATCTAGGGCTAAAGGCTAAACATTTTGCCCGTACTAAGCTAGCTGGACAACTGGCTCTGGGTAATATAGTTCTTGATTCTCCAGATGTTTCTAGGTTGTTTGCATTTGCCAAGATGCATAAGCAAGGGCAACAGCTCCATCTGGTTATAGACAAAGCCAGGGCACCCATCTGATTACTGGAAAAGGCCATTCACATCCTCCTCGCAGCCTAATTAAAAGGATATCCCTACGCAATCACAAGTTCAGTGGAGCTTATACAACAATTAGTGTATTGATTGTTATGCACAGGATTAATACATGCACAGCTTTAAGTTTATATTTATAGTTCAAATGGTCATTTGAATTACATTCTTTTAAAAACTTTTATAAATTTAGGTTTGTTCTAACAGATGTTCCATCAGGTAACCATTCTGTCATACCTGAATAACAACTCAGAAGGAGTTAGAAAATGTTTGTGCAAAGATTGTTTTTTGTTTATACACATAGGAAATTGGTTCTGTGTTTGTTATTAAAATAGTAATATTCAATATATATTTCTCAATGATTACTGTATATCCACACAAATAAGCATAGAATAGTAAGTTACAGAAAAATTATTTTTATAAGCTATATATACTATTTAATTTTTCTTTTAGTCAGAAAAATTCCATTTAAATTTAATACAGTTTTTTTGACAATCTATTATTATTATAAAACCCAAATAAATCATCACTTAATCAAAGATATTTGTAAGTATAACTAGCAACAATCAAATAGATTACAGAATTAGAGCTGCTTTTATGGATAGTTTTAATGAATTATTTATCTTAACTCTCCAAACATTTCAAAGTAAATATTTCAAAATATTTTTTAAGTTGAAAATTAGATTATTTTTAATAACTTATAAAATCTAAACAACTCTTCATTCTATTTAAATTTAAATTTGAAATCTTTAAATATCTTTGAAAACTACTATTTGCTCAAAAACTATTTTCATTACCTTTCTTGTAATACTGAAGCAATCTCCTTATTAAAATCAGCTCCTTGCTTAATATATTTTCGAAGCTCATCAAATCCATTTGAACCCTGTTATAGAAAAATTTTTTATTATTAATAAAGACTTTATTTAGAAATATTAAATCAATTTAACTTCATAAGCTAACTCAAATTTCTACAATGCTAGTCATAAATATGAGATCACATTGTACAAAAACATTATGAATACACTTTTTCTTTGTTTTAATTAGTAATTTAGAATATTATAATTGCACAAAATGCTAATGTTTTTAACATGAATTTAAAACTTACAAAAATAAGAAAATATTGATTATATATAAAAACTAGAAAATAAAAAAAGAGGATTACAAACTCAGATAGATATCTAAGATTTATTTTTCATTATAATAATATACAAAATTTAAACATGCTATTAATATTTCATACTACAATCTTTATATAAAAATATAAAAAATTGAATCTGTTATTAAGAAAATTAATTTTATACAGTAATCAGTAATAAATTTTCAAGCATTTCATGGTTCATTTGGAAAAAATTAACTTTTTAGATATATTTTTAAAAATTATTATATACCATTACTTATTTTATCTCACCCAACCTAAGAAAAAAAAATCAATGAATGAATTTTCATTAAAACAGAAAATGTCTTTTATGAATCAAAAATATTACAGAAAATAATTTCAAAATTCAACTTTTATTAGTAATCAATTGCATCTTCCATTCTTCTCCAAAATCTATTTTCAATTTTTTATACAATCAATAAATTATTTTGTAACTTTTATAACTGAAAAATATTTTAATGATAGTCTAAAGCAGTAATCTTCAAATTTTTAACATCTAAGGAATCATTATGCTTTATTATTTTTGTAGAACTTATTATTTGTTTAAATTAAAAGAAAGAAAGAATATTTAAAAATTACATCATTACAACTTTTATTTACCAAACAATAAAGCACCTTATAGTTAGATAAGGTATAGTTTATTTTCATTAAAAAATACTGAAAAATAAAACTTCTTACAAATATCTTTGTAGAACCCTTGAAAAGATTGTAAATTAATCATAAATAAATCTAACTGGTAGAATCAGCAATAACTGTTTTAATATATTTTAACAGAGATTGTAATTTTTGTACTATATATATATTTAATTTTATATTATAAAATTTTTGCTGATTCTTACAAATATCAATTACTAGCAGGTAAGTCTAGTGTTGCCCATAAAAATAAGTACAGACATTAAGATTATTAGATTATTTTGTACTTCTAACCCTTCTATTATATTATATACCATTACTTATAGTTGATTTATATAAATACAGTATTTGATTTATATAATTACAAATGTTGTCTTAAATAAGGGTTTATCGCACCAAGTGACCAATCAAAGACATTTTAAAAATTCTTTAAATTGTGTACAGTAGAATTTTTAAAATGTATTAGATTGGTCACTTGGTGTGATAAACCCTTACATAAGAAAACCTTTGTACTTATATACTTTGTACAAATACTATACTATAACAAACATTAAATTGAAAACCGTATAAAGACTTTGGTTATTTCAGCCTGCAATTGTCATGTTTATCACTATACCTGGATGGTACAAAATGGCACAATTTCATTAGTAAAGTAGACACAATCAAAAATATGATATCTTAAATGTTTTAACATATTGTAATTTTTCTAATGTTATCTTTAAGAAACTGTATCATTTATTTAAGAAACTGTACCATATCAAATGGTAATCTGCCTACAAATCAAATTACACAAAAAATGGACCAAATATTTAAACTTGGCTCCCCAGAAAACCACTTAAAACATATTTTGTGTTTGCTGGTAGCCTTATATTATGTAATTTTCTATTTGAATGCACCATACTCCTGATCCAATAGAAAGAAGGGAGTGTTACAGAAGGGGGTTAAGTAATTCAATTAAAAGTAGTCACTGATATCCTCCCAGAAGAGTATGGTCAACGACTACTACTTAATACCAATCTGGTATTAAGTAGTAGTCATTGACCATAATACTATTAATACTTGAAAAGTGATCTGTGTTGGATAGGTTGTGATGGCCCTGCATGTGATCAAAGTCCAAAAGACTTCATATAAAGCTTGTTTAAATAAAATAATATTGTAAACTGTGAGAATAATTGCTTTTATATGATCCCGTAAAAAATCAGGTGAAATCAGGTGAAAAAGTAAATTCAGCAAAAACATCTAAGTAAAGGAAACTTGAAAGTTGTGGTATAGGCATACTGAATGCAGATTTGACAGTAAGATTCAACATGTGAATAAAGTGCACACAGACTACAGGAAATTTTGAATCAAGCAATGTCAGGTAACATGATATGAGCAATCTGCCAAGGAGGATGCATCCCATAAAGACTTTTATGTAAAGCTGGCCCCAATTTAAGTGTTACTAATGCAAAGAAAACCCAGAAAACTCCACATGGCCAGTCCATTGGCAATGCACAAACTTATGACCAAACCAGTGTTCGGTGGTTTTATCCATTTGGTTACTGGAGGTACTTATTGGCTGCAATTTAAAAAATTGTAGACCTATAAATTCCCATTGTCATCCATTAGTTTCTGTCCTTCCCTAATCTCAAAAATGGAGATAGATAAAGTTGAAACCAGACATGGAAATGGTAAGAGAAAGAGGACCAGATTAACTATATATAAACTTCCAATTTGTACTGCAAGTCACATTATTTCAAATCAAAAAATTTTTCCCTGAATGCAGTTAGATACATAACTAGCATGACTCTATTGCTAATGGGAAAAGGAGGATATACAGGAGCAAAACACTACTCCACGCAAGCAAGTGCTATGTGTTAACTGTTGCATTTGGTGAAGTAAAGTGGTCTCTGATCAAAGGGCTCACAACTGTTAGCCAAAGCCCTCCTGACAAGCTCTGTTGTATATTTTCTATGCAAGATATCTTCCTAGAGTTATGACAACTTATTTGCAAGTACTCTTGTTGTCATCCTTATATATGAAAAATTGGAAAGTGTCTGACCTTGTTTTAACAGGATTCTGTATATGTTTGATTATACTTGAGGACAGAATACTGATCTCTATCATTACATAAGTATCAACAGAGCAGTGCACAATGCCAGATACATAAGTATCTATACAAAGATGCCTGTGGTATGATAGGTAAAACAAAACCATATTTCTTAAATAGCTGAGAAAGGTACAAGGAAGTATGACTTAAATAGGGAATAAAGTTCCTTGAAAACACCCTTTCCTTCTTGGCAAGCATAGTGGAAAGTGGGAATAACATTCTTAATACTGACATTAAGGTGGTTTAAATTGTATCTTCAATTAAATTGTATCTTGCCTTTGTAACCACTGATCTAATGCATTCCAATTCTTTATTAACTGTGAAGTACAAATATGCATGGGATATTAGGGCAATGATTACAGAATTGATGTATCAGGTCAGTCCATAAGTTCGTGTGTATTTTATGACCTTGAGAAAAATCTTGTTTTGCTGTTAAAAATGCCAGTCTAATGTGATACTTTTTACACTGAAGTGTTAAATTGGATCTCATTCATATAATACTGTTCAGACTTGGGAACATTTCAGTTGTTTATTTTCATTAAAATGGAAGTAACAGATGAATATAAGAGACATGTTTTATACTTTTTATTTTTAAGTGGTGAGAATGCTATAAATGCAGCCAAAAAATTAAATACTGCTTATAATCAAACTGTAACAAGTGTAAGGACTGTGCAGAAGTGGTTTGAAAGATTTAGAAATAATGATTTTAATGTGGAGGATAAGGCTCGTACTGGAAGACCCGTTGACTTTTATGATGATGCTCTCTCTGCATTAGTTGAAGCAGAACCATCTTTAACAGTTGATGAAATTGCGGAACGTTTAAATTCATCCCATGGAACTGTTCATAGACATCTACAACAAATAGGAAAAGTTTCAAAGCTAGGAAAATGGATACCACATGAACTGTCAATAGCTAACTAACAACGTCAACTGCTCAACTCCAAAGCTTCAACTGGGAAATTTTACCTCATCCACCATATTTGCCAGATATTGCTCCCAGTGATTATCACCTTTTTCAGAGTTTGCAGAATTTTTTAAAAGGAAAAACTTTTGAGGATGAGAACAATGTAAAAAGGCTATTTCTGAATATTTTGATTCAAAACCGAAATCATTTCACAAAGACGGGACTAAAAAGCTACCATCAAGATGGCAAGAAATTGTACAAAATAATGGTGAATACATTATAGATTGAAATAAGATTTAATTAAAATTTTTTGTTGCTTTTTTTGTAGATAAAAATGCGCACGAACTTATGGACTGACCTGATAGTCGGGTGATTAAAAAGGAAATGTCTCAATTCAAACACAAATTATTTATCGTATTTATACAGACACTTGGTACGATAAATACGATAAATAATTTGTGTTTGAATTGAAATAAATTACTGGCACGGTTTCAAAAATACCATAAAAAGGAAATGCTTAAATAACCATAGGAACCAAATGAAACTTATGGTAAACACCAAAATATTCCCTTCCTGGGCATTCTATGTATATGTAAATTGAAGAAAGAAGTCTTATTACAGTCTTCTTCTATGGTGAAGTCTGTAGACAGACAGATGATGATAGCCAAACAAAAGCTAATAATTGTTTGGGATTGCTCATACAAAGAGTTAACATCAGGTATGAGGTGCAGATATAGTAGTGGATAATGCACAATAAAGGGTGCTTTTACTGTGTAAAACCAAAGTTTCATGACTCCAAATTTTGTATGACTAACTCCACTAGGATAGCCAACAATGGAAAACACATGCTTTTATAGATAAACTTGTTCATTGAAACAGAAGTTATTGCTGTTGGGTATTAAGTAAAACATCTCACATGGTGCACTTTGTTGGAAGGTAAACCCCTTCTGGAGCAGTAGAACATTACCCAACATGACCACTTTGAAAGTTGGCACCAATGGGTATAACAAGACAACATGAATCTTATAGAATGAATGTGTAGCTGGAGGAAATGTCCCATTTCTTTTAAAATGAGAGATTTAGCTCCATTGTAGATGCTAC